GATGCGCAGAAACAGGGCCCAGGATTCTGGGAGTGTGGACACGGTGCTGGTTCTGAAGGGTCTATTGAAGGCTCGACTGAGGGTGGAATATGCCTTCTATAAAGTAACAGACAATATGGAAGATTTCAACCGTGTGTGGGCTCTAGCGGGGGTTTTGTGTTCTGTGGGAGGGGATGGGGAGCTAATTGTTAATTTGTGATCTGCAGAAAGTTTCATGTGGTTGTTGTTTTGTTGGGTTTTTTTTGATGTTCCTGTCTTTTTTGCTCTGATATGACAGTGATGTAGGTTTTCTCCTTGAAGTGGTTTAATAAAGGGACTTTGAAAACCTCTCCTCTCCTCTCCTCTCCTCTCCCCTCCTCTCCTCTCCTCTGCTGGGAGTTTTGGCATGTGAGTGTGTAAGCGGCTGTGGAGTGTATGGAGCTACTGAGTGAGTTTGGGACTTTTGGATTGTTTCTTTTCGGATTTCCGGATTATTTTTCATCTTGTCCCTTATGAGAAGATATGAGGAGTTTAATTAATTGATTTGTGAATTTAAAGAGAACTGGCCCACCTTGGAAAGTTTTCTAGTGGTTTTAAAACAGTTTCAGCTGTAAAGATGCTAGACTGTAGCATGCTCAGTCTCTATGGAGACAAGCATTCATGTACCTGAGTGACCCTTCAGGGGTCTTACAGGTATCTTTCAAAGTTTGAAAACAATTTTTATGCTGTTTAAGTGTGGCGATGTCGGCCACAAATGGCAGGCAGCACAGGTGAGCAGTGGGCTGCAGGTTGTAGGTTGCAGCAGGCAACAATGTGGATGTTGATGTTGGATGATGACTCTCCGTCACAGTTCTCTGAAATTGTGTCACAGGGTGACAAACAGCCATATTCACAACTATTTCCTAGATGAAACTTACGGTGATGAAACAGACAGTCTGTGGAAATAACTGAATTCTTTCCTGATGTGGACAGATTCATTAACTCTTTTTGAAAGGGAAGAAAAATGGTTGGTTATGAACAGAAATGTTTTTGTCTTAAAAAAAAATACTGACTAGAATCAGGAAAGAGAAGCCAGGAAAGGTCCCTCTAAATGCACAAAGATAAATAAATATATGAATAGAAATTGGTGGAGCACTAAGGGTAGTGTTTTCTTCTTGGAAGAGCTTCACTGTCCTGTCTTCTTTCTCTCTGTGCTCTTCATGGAGGTTTTGAGAGTAGGAGCTTTAAACATCAATGGAGAGAGGGGTAGAGATAAGCAGTGGTAACTGAGCTGAGCAGAAGTAAGAACTTAGATGTGCTACTCTTACAAGAGATACACAGCTCAGTAGATAATGAAGGAGAATGGGGAATGACTTAGAGGGAACAGATTTTGTCATGATACTAACCTTAGTGCAGGAGTAACTATTCACCAAATCTTCATCTAACAAATGTTTCAGCATGTGAAATAGAACAGGGCAGGATCCAAGTAGTGTAAGCAACAATCAGAGACATAACCTGTGTATTTATTAACGTATATGCTTACATTTCTGGTGCTGGTCACATAGTGCTATTTCATAAACTTAATAATAAACTGAAACAGTTCAACAGTGATTCAGTTATAGTGGTAGGAGGAGACTGGAATTGTACTACTCATTGTTTCAGCTGACAGAAATGCAGGAGAGCCTCACCCACCATCAGCCTCCCTTTTGTCCAGTGTGGTTGCAGAAAATGACCTCACAGACGTTTGGAGGAAACTTAATCCAGTAGCTAGACAATATACTTGGGTGAAAATCTCTGATGGCAGTGTGAGGGCAGCTAGAATAGATAGGATTTATGTTAATCAACAATAATAACAATTCTAATAATAACAACCTAATAACCCAATAACAGGTTAACTAAAGCAACAATATCACCTGTGGTTTTTCGGATCATCATTTAGTTACATCACCTTATGGGTACACCCTCAACGCTGTCCCTATTGGAATGTTAATGTAAGACTGACCTATGATAAGGCCTTCTGTTAGTCTTTCTCTGACTTCTTTGTGCCAATGGAGACTGAGGAAAAAAGATTTTCACAGCTTAGTTCAGTGGTGGGAGCTGGGGAAAACAAGAAATGTCATTTTTAACAGTACACAGCACACACAACAACATAGACTGAAACTGCTTTGAAGAGTTGGAGAAGGAGACTATCAAGATAGAGTTATTAATGGGACAGATAATAATAATAATAATAATAATAATAATAATTAATAATAGGACCTTGAAGAATAGGGGAAAGCTTTAGGAAACTCCTTACATGAAAAAGTGAGGGTGCTTTGATTAGAATTTTTACCATTAAAGACATAAGATGCCCTGACTCATTTTTTCTTTAAGTAAGAGAGGAAAGACAGAAAACACAATCAGATGGTGCACCTTAAGTTTACAAATGGGACTATAACAAGTGATTCATCAGAGATGAGGAAGCTGGCTATAGACTTCTACACTGGCATGTTTAGTGCTGACAGCTGTGACTCTGACTGTGTGGCTGAAATTCTGGAGGGACTGCCTCAACTGGATGGAGCTCAGTCAGTGTCACTGGATTCCACCATTTTCTTTGAGGAAATATCTGTAGTGGTGCAGCAGCTCAGCTGTGGTTGGTCTCCTGGGATTGATGGACTTCTCTCGAAGTTCTACAAAAGATTTTTGGACTCTGCTGGGAAGAGACTTGTTTCGAATTTTTAAAGACTGTTTGGACTCTGGGATTTTACTGCTGAGCTATACGAGGGCAATCCTGATATTTCTACCTAAGAAACCTAAGAGATCTTGGCCTCCTGAAGAGCTGGAGACCGGTATCACTGCTGTGTACAGACTATAAAATTATTGCAAAATGTCTCTCAAATAGACTCAATGAATGTATGGACATGGTTCTAAACATCAGCCAGACATACTGTGTTCCTGAACAGACAATAATGGACAATCTGTTCTTAATCAGGGACATTATTGATTCATCTAAACTCCAGGACTTGGATGTGGCACTTTTTCCCTTGATCAGGAAAAAGCTATTGATATAGTGGATTGTTGTTATTTGTCTAAGACAACTGAGGCCTTTGGTTTAGGAGGAAAATTTATTTCATGGGTGAAGTTATTATATTATTGTATTGGAGCCACTTTTTCTGTTAAAGGTGGGGGGACAACTTCACCGACTAGTCCCTGTTCAGAGAGGTATCAGACATAGATGTGTGTATGTGTGTATGCTCTGGCTATTGAGCCTCTCCTAAATTAGCTCAGGCCAGGTCTCACAGGTTTAACCTTGGCAGAAAACAAAAAAATACAGTTACTTTTTGAGCTTATGCTGATGATGTTATGGTTTTCATTACAGGTCAAAATTACATCCAGATCCTTCAACAAAAATTAAAATTATATGAGCAAGCTTCTTCTGCAAAGGTGAGCAGGTCAAAGTGTGATGAGCTCCACGTGGGAGAGTGGAGAGATAAAGAGCAGCCAACTTTACCAGCTGGACTGCAGTGGAGCAGAGAGGGGATGAAGGTCCTAGGTGTCTTTCTGGGAAATTATGATTTTCAGAAAAAAAAAAACTGGGAGGGTCTAGTTGAAAGGATCAGTGCCCAGTTGTCTCAGTTGAAGTTGGTCCACCCCAGTTGTCCTACAAGGAGGGGACTTTGGTTGTTAACAACCTGGCGGCCTCTATGCTCTGGAACCGCCACACTCTTTTAGAACCTCCAGGGGCACCATAGGCTGGTGAATTTCTTCTGGGGAGGGTTTCACTGGATTAGATCTGCTGTGCTGTTCTTACCTGTGTCAGAGGGGGGCCAGGGACTGGTAGACCTCTGCAGCCGTAAAGCAGCTTTTTGCCTTCAGACTGTGCAGCATCTCCTCTATCATAAGCAGCAGCTCTGGACTGAATCAGCATTTGTGCTTCTTCGCAGAGTGAAGAGCCTGGCCTACGATAAGCACCTCTTTCTTCTGGATCTGGAAGGTGCGGACACATCACAGACTTCCTGTTTTTACCAGTTGGTCAAGTGTGCCTGCAGAACTGTTTTAAAGGCGAGTAGAGACTGTTCTCTGCTGTATGGTAAGGTTGGGGAGGAGCATTTGCTTCATAACCCACTCATACAGAGCAGAATGCTTCACTCCTGGGTCAAGGGGGTTTGGTGTGTTGGCACCAGGGTCATCTCCAAGAGGTAGCTGGAGGTCCCTGTACAAACCTCCCATAGAGAAACGCACTGCGGATCTCCATTGGAGGGTAGTGCTTGGGGCCGTGGCTACAAACGATCATGTGGCATCATATAGACCACAGCACAGGAAGCTATTGTGTGTTTTGTCAGGCTGAGGAAACTGAAATCATCTTTGGCTCAGCTGTCCCAGACTGGCTCTGCTCCTCTCCTTGCTGCAGTGGGGGCTTGATCGATTGGGGCAGGTTTTTGAAGACAGGCTTTTTATTTTTGGTCCCAGGTTTTCTGTAGCACAGCGCAGATCTGTCTGGTTTATTTTATTTTTTACTGGATCAAACCAAGATGAGCATTTGGCTAATGAAAAGGAATGAAATGAAGGGGACAGGTTCTGTAGATGCTGACTTAGAATAGAGTTTGTTTGTTATGAAATGGTGTCAGACTTGGCAGACTTCAGTTCTATTTGGGGTGTTGAAGATGTCGTGTATAGTGTTTCTCGTGACTCACAGTTTCTGAAAACAGTAACAAAAGTTGTTACTTATTTATTCATTTAGCCTATTTATTTATTTATTTTTTGTTTTTTCAAATGGCTTGTGGAGGATTGGGCGGGGAAGTCTGTATAGGGGTAGAATATATGTGAATGTACTTTACATCCTTGTGTTTGTTTAATTTGACTGAAAAATTGGACCTATAAAGGGTTCAAAAAAGGTCTCCTCTTCCTCCCCTCTCATCTCTCTCCTCTCCTCTCATCTCATTTCTCCTCTCCTCTCTCACCTCTTATCTCTCTCCTCTCCTCTCCTCTCCTCTCCTCTCCTCTCCTCTCATCTCTCCTCTCCTTTCCTCTCCCCTCCTCTCCTCCGCTCTCTTCTCCTCCAGTTTCCCATGATCAGTGAATTTGGAGAGGAGAGGATAGTGTGTTGTTCCTGTGAGCCCATCATCAAGGACACCAGTGGAATCCAATCAGAGACCACCAATCTACAACAGAGGATCAACTCTCTCACTCAGGAGGTACATAGTAACACTATCATTGCCACTGCTACTAGTAGATCTAACATAAGTTCCAGAGAAGTTGTATTACAGTTTGCTAAAACACATTTCTTGAAAACTTCCATGCTTTTGTCAAAACTGTAAACACAAAACCCAGCTGTCCAACTACATTCACCAAACCTCTGACTCCTTTCGCAAAACGAAACAATCACCTCAAAACAGTTATATCTGCGCTCATAATCAAACAGACCATTCACAAAGCCAATGAAAATAAAAACACCACTGATAATTCATTATACACTACATAAAACAAGACTAGGTACATGTCTGGACCACCAGTACATGTCTGGACCACCTCTGGTCCAATTCTGGTCAAGTTCTGATTTCATAACTGTGTCGTCATCTGACAAAATATGCATACACAACAACACAAATACATAAATGAAACATAAAGACTGAGCTGTGATTTCAGCTGTATTTATTGTAAAATGATCACTCAGAGAGAAAGTTTGTAGAGACAGTGTTCCTGAGAATTTTATCTGCTCTTTTCAATTGTCAGAAGAAAAAAAGAAAATCGGGACCAAATAAAGTTTAATTTTCTGTTTAGTTTTACAGTTTTTTAACAATTGCTATGGCATGATTTTAAAAACAGAACAAATTTTTCCAAAAACACAATTCGCAAAACCAAACACCCAAAGTTAAAACACCTCAGATATCCTGCATTCAAAACCGCACTTCTGCACCAAACGGCAAACACTTACCACATTATTGTTCAAACAACTACATTCTGTTGTGCTCAATCCAAAGCACTTTCATCTTTGGTGGTCTTGTCATCATAGTTCTGAATGAAGAGAATTCTCCTGAGAGAGAAATTGTTCAAGTCTACAGAAATATGTGCAGAAACACAAATATTGCTGAAACAAAACCTTTTATTTTTCCTAAGCAATTGTAAAAAAAAAAAAAAAAAAAAAAAAAAAAAAAAAAAAAAGACTGGTTGTAGGAACCAAAAAAGTTCTATCAAATATAGCAAATACAAAATGAAATTTGAGGGGAAAATACAGAAAAAAAGACAAAAAAAAAAGAAAATATTTTGGCTGTATCTCGCCACCTCACTGGGTTTGGCCACACCAACTCATCAACATCAGCGAGGGAAGAAACATATCCATCCCTGGACAGCACCCACATCAATGTTATCACATGCGTCTTTCATTTCTAAAGAGTAATGTGCACATAAGGCTGGTCATACACCTTCCTCCACCATGCAGAGAAGAACTCAACTGGACTGAGAAATGCAGAGCAGGGTGGAAGGTACTGAGCAGGAAACTGTGGGTGGTCAACAAACTGTCAGGCCGAGACTCAAAGCAGGACTCAGATGCAGAGAATTTGAATAACAAAAAGGCTTTTATTGAATTCACCGGAGACCTCAGACAGAGTGACAAACAAATGGCTATAAAAAAACTAGACACTAAACTCTGAATCCTGAGAAACAAAAACACTCCAGGAGGAGGAAAAAACTCTAATCAAAAGAAACAAATCGATAAACACAAAACGCTCCGAATGGAGGAAAAACCGAAGGACTATGAATCTAATCTATGGAAAGAATTAACAAACAAAAAAATCACTCTTAAAGTGGAAAAACCAAAGGACTAGGAATCTAAACTATGGAAAGAATTAACAAACAAAAAATCACTCGTTAACGAGGAAAAACAAAGGGCTATGAACTTTACCTATGGAAAAATTTACAAACAAAAAAATCACTCTTCTCAAGGTACAAACGGCTTACTTTGGCGACTACTATGGCTGTGGACATGGACAAAGGCTCTGGTGCAGGACAAGGGGAACACAGACTATTTAAACACATGGAGGGAAATAGGGGACAGGTGGAAACACTTAGAGCAATCAGACTGAGACACATGAGGAAGGGCAAGTGACCTGAAACGAGAGGAGAATTACTTTTCAAAATAAAACAGGAAATGACAGGACAAAACAAACCCAAGACAAGACAACCTCACCGCGGTGTGACACAAACCAGTTTTGGATCAGGGTTGTGTGATGGAAGCTGACATTGCCCCATACTGTGACATATCTGTGCTGTTGTGCATCGTCCATACGGTCAGCCAGTATCACAATGTTGAGCTGTCTGTCCAAAAATGTGAGGATGCGGTCTGTGTTATATTGACCAAGGTTGGCATGGCAGTGGAGGACACCAGCTACAATAGTTCTGTGAACAATTCGACCAAGAAGTGATGGACACAGTATGATTGTTGGAATCCTGAATTATGCAGAGTGAATGGTATTCTGGTTACATACCTGTGCTCAAGCCTAAATGTATGGATCACAGAGGTAACAGTAAATCAGCTCATGTTGGGCTGGACCCTCTGTCCAGCCTCTCTCATTGGCAACCCATGGTAGATATAGCATGGTCAACTAATGTTGCCCGGATTTCATCTGAAAACGGTGCCCTTTTTTGTCCTCATCCGCCCCCTCCAGCTCTACCTCTACCTCTCACCCTCCCCCACTTCTTCCTCTTGCTGCTGCTTCTATTGTTGTTGTAAAATGTATGTTTTAACAGTGCTTACATCCTGATTGATGAGTCAACAATAAAGCAATTAGGTGTGTATTGTGATTTGCCAAACTGATTGGCAAGGCTGGCAAAAGTGATTGACACAGCCTTCACCACATCATTCACAATTGATTTGTCCACTCTGTCACCAACAACTTGGTAGAAAGCCCCAGATGCATAGAAGTGCAGAGCAATGAGGAGTGACTCCTGTGGTGACTCCTTCTGGTTCTGTGTTGAAGTTTTGGCCTGACAAGGTCTGCAGTGTACTTAATATCAGCATTCCCAAACCGAAATTGAGCATAAAGTTCCTCAGTGGTGTATTGCTCTAGTGGTTTTGTACGCTCAACATTCACCCTTTTACTGTTTTCTGTCCTGCCAAAATGGTAGTGGCGATGGATCATACCTGCCATTTCTATAAGATCAAAGCTGAAGCAGGAAGTGGGTCTTTAAACAAAAATGGATTTTACAACAGAAAGTTGTAATTTTTGTGTTTACCTTTTTTTTCTGTAAAATCAAGGTTGACTAAACTTGGGATTAGTTTAAAGTTGGTCTAATTGTCTGACTGCTCATGCTTCTTGTCCTGTCTGACTTGTCCTGTCTTTCTTAAAATTAATGTTACTGTGTTCGTTAGTGTGTTATCATTTCTGGCTGAAATAATGGGTAAAACTCCATGTTGTATTATCCATCAAAGTGAAGCCATGAAAGATTCCTCTTGTTTCTCTATTTCAGCTTCAGAAGACTAAGGAAAGAGAGGAGAGGTTGGAGGAAGTCATCCAGGCTTATGAGAAGATTCACATAGAGAAAAGCAATGTCCAGAGAGACCTTGACAAGATGGTGAACACACACACACACACACACACAACACAGTGTTTCATTGCAATGACATTTTATGCAGTTTGGGTTTTAGTTCTACATATGTGTAAGTGTGTGTGTGTGTGTGTGTGTGTCAGACGACTCTAGCAGAGCAGCATGTGGAGAGGATCTGCAGTTTGGAGTCTGCCCTCAGACAGAGAGAAACGTCCCTTCAGAAACTCAGTGCTGAACTCCACAGCAAAGACACACATCAGTCACAACTCGAAGCTAGTCTGGACGTACCCAGAGGTGGGTTCCGTGTGGATCAGAAGTAGACCCATACAGATCATAGTAGTGTCAGCAGTAGTAGGAAGAGGAATAATACAAGAAATAAAAGTAAGAGGAGCTGAAAGCCACTCATAATGTATTGGTAGCTGCTTACCAGCCATTTATCAGTAGCTAATATCACTAGCCAAAAGCTTGGGACACTTGGTTGAAAATGCTTTCTCTGGTTTACATTTTAATGTTTCAAACTGAGTTGTAAACTCTGAAAAAAGGACAACATTGTGGGTTGGGGATATGTGGTGCCATTGACCTCATCCCCATATTCGGGGATGTTTCTCTAGACGCCTTTCATCTCACTGTAGAGCAGTGACTGTGAAACAGACTGAAGCTGTTTGGTTTTGTCAGAGGGTCGTGGGCCGACACTACAGTGCTCCCACAGTCTGGATGCCCTGTCAGACCTGAAGCTGCAGCGTCTGGAGGCTGAGCTGGAGGGGGCACGGCACCATGTCGAGGGAGCCTGTCAAAGGGAGAAGGAGCTGAGGGCTGAGCTTCAGAGGTTGCAGCAGAAGGTAGCCCAGCTACAGGATGCACAAAGACAGGTAGGCCTGAATGCTGGAAAATAACAAGATGACTGAAAAAAGTGGAGGCTTTTTCTGACCTGGAGCAAATGAAAAGCTAAAATGATGGGGACATTCAGTAGACATAAAAAAAGAAAATTCCACAATTTAAAAACTTTCTGCACATTTCATGTACAGCCATTGAGTTTTTCAATTAAATTTTTACAATTCCACCCCATAATTCAGTTAATGTAAACCTGACATTGATACACACCAAACTTTATGGAAAGAACTAAAACTATCGAGGTTCTGAACTAGAAACAAAACTTTTTTGCACACCATGTAGATCATTAACCCCTTGAATATAAAAAGGACTCATTGAAATGGGTTGAAAAATGTATCCGTTATAGTGCTTGTCAGCAAAACTTTGTTTTTTGTGTTTGTTTAAGGCTAGAGTTACACGGTCCAACATGGAGGTGACGTTGTGTGATTGTGTGATTCTTCTTCTTCTGTTTAGTTTAACTGCGGTTGGTATCCATCAATGTTGCATTACTGTCACTACTGGAAAGCACTTGGTTCTCCTGCAGTTATGGATTTTGTGTGACACAAAACGGGTAGAACAGAGGTAGAACAGTCTCAAAAGGATCCACACCAAAGTTGAGATGCACAAATATATTTCAATTGAAAAATCCTAAGGTGATGTGCAAATGATGATATACGAGTTGTAAATTAGAGGCACAGATGCAGATACAGATTCAAATCACTCTCATTTATTAGTGCATTGTATTTTACGAGTTACGTACCTTGACCTTACCTTTGTTTGCGAATAGTTTTGAGACTGTTTTCATGAGATTTGACAACAATAAGAAAAATGAGAAAGAAGACCAGCTTTAAACTTAAAGGGTTTGATTTTCCTACAGCAGAGCTCAAGACAATGCTTTGCGACAGCTTACTATCTTCAAATGTCAGAGCTACTGTGAATGCAGCACAGAGAAGTTGTTCATATAGTTGCTGCTCAAAGCTGTTAAAGTAAAATTTCACTTTTTCCAAGTTCAATATTTGAATTGATACTAGTGTAGCCCTGTGGCTATTATTTTCATTCATTCATATACAGATATTAAAATGTTTGTGTTGCTAATAAATAATAGTTCATGAAGTGTAAATATGTTTAAAAAGTCATTTCATATACAGTTAAAAGTCAGAGATAAAAGGGTGGTGTTAGTTTTAAAATCCATATGATTGTTGGCACAAAAGATAGGAGACCACGTTTGTTTGTGGGGTAGTGAAGCATCTCTTTAATCTCTCATCTTTGAATGTATGTAGCCTTAGCCAATCCTGTCCTCACCTTGTTCAGGTAGGAGGTGCTTAGCATAACCGACGTGCCGCAGCACATTAGCGACAGCAGAGGCTACGTTATCGGGATCCGAGCTGGATAGCAGTAGACTGTAAAGTAAATAAAATACTACGAACTCCCAAGACGGACGGAGAGTCGTCCCCTGGTTTATGTGTGAGAACTCTGAGAAGCTGCCAGAGGTAAATTCATGTGTTTTAATGTACTTTGTGCTGTTGTGTAATTTGTAATGTGTTAAAGACAAGCTGAATTGCTAATCGCTGCTAGCCTTTAGCTTAGCCTGCTCATAGACTTGCCTATGGTCAATTCTGCATTGCAGTTAGCAAGTGCTAATTCGTTTAAGACCTACTGTTGGTTTTTCGCCATGAGTAAGCCTGTAACTTAGTTACTAAGAAGAATTATGTGATTCAGGACCGGACATTTGCCATAAGAGGGAGAGAGTGAGGACCAGGAGAGCCCTGGACCTTTGGAGGGAGACTGTAGCTGCTGTACTTGAACGTGGCTCACCGCACTTTGTTGCTGCACGCTCCATTTGCTTGCCGCTGAAACTGCACCTTGCCTTTTGCCCCTTTTCCATCTTAATCTCTGACTGTTGCTGGACTCGTGAGTACACCATTAACACTGTACACGTGGTTTTTTTTTGTTTATGCTGGTTAAAACACAGTGAAACGGCCATTTGTTTTCGGCCTCCACGCTCACAAGCTTCGACCAGGCCTGCAACGTTTTGTTTACATTTAATAGCCCTGCGTGAATGTGTGTGCGAGTGTGGGCTGTGGACATTTGAGTTTACTTGTTTATTTTGATTTCACATTTTCTCATTGGGTTCATCATTTGTGTGTCAAACCTTCCAGACCAAATGAGAGTTTTGAATACTTTTATCAATGCATAGGCCTACTTAAAAGTCAACAGTGAACTATTTGACTAATTTGGAAATCCAATTCGTAACTTTGCAATAAATAATTATTGTTGTTTCAGCTAAATCCTGTGTTGTACTTACAAGGGTGATACTTTTTGGTTAAATATTAAATAGGTTAAAGGGAACTTTATTTTAAAGGGGAAGTAACAAATTTTCCCTGGCGGAAGAACCCGTCAAGATGATTTTCAACGCACACCTCCGGCAGAGTTTCGACCACGTTCCGAGGGCAGTGGGGGACATTGAGTCCGAATGGGCCTTGTTCCGCTCTGCTATTGTTGAGGCGGCTGTTGCAAGCTG